CTGGTCAAGGGCATGTACCTTGGTTGTGGGCACGTCCCCAGTAGGAGGTGTGCAAGAGGCAGCTGATCGATGACTCTCTCTCATCGATGTTTCTAATTCTCTTTCTCTCCCTTCCTCTCTGTAAAAAATATTTAAAAAAAAAAAAAAAAAAAAGATCACAAACTAAAGAAATGGAGGAAAGCAAACAACCGAATATAGAGTTCAAAATCATGGTTATAAGGTTTTTCAATACTTTCCTAGAAAAGCCCAACAAACTTAGCAAGATCCTTGAGGATATGAAAAAGGACCAACTAGAAATTAACCATACACTGACTGAAATAAAAACTATTATTCAGAGATCTAACAGCAGATAGAGGAACACAAGAATCAAGTCAAATATTTGAAATACAAAGAAGCAAAAAACACTCAACCAGAAAAGAAAAAAGAATCCAAAAATTTGAAGAAAGTGTAAGGAGCCTCTGGAACAACTTCAAGCATACCAATATCAGAATTATAGGGGTGCTAGAGAAGATACTGAAAACCTACTTGAAGAAATAATGACTGAAAACTTCCCCCACCTGGTGAAAGAAATAGACTTATAAGTCCAGGAAGTGCACAGAACCCCAAACAAAAGAAATACAAAAAGGACTACACCAAGATACATCATAATTAAAATGCCAAGAGCAAAAGACAAAGAGATAATCTTGAAAGAGAAACAAGAGAAAAAGTTAATCACCTACAAGGGAGCACCCATACAGCTGTCAGCTGATTTCTCAACAGAAACTCTGCAGGCCAAAAGGGAGTGGCAAGAAACATTCAGTGATAAATAGCAAGAAGCTACAACCAAGATTACCATATTTTCTGGTGTATAAAAGACGACTTTTGAAACAAAAAAAAGTCAACCGAAAATCGGGGGCAAAAGACCAAAATTGCACAAAAATTACCTGCAGATTTTGACGGCAAAGTAAGTCTTTTCTTTGAAGTGGGGGGGTAGTCTTATACAGCGAATATAGGCCTAAACCTATGTTTTAACTGTAAAATTAGGGGGTCGTCTTATACGCCGGAAAATATGTACTCCACCCAGCAAAGCTGTCATTCAGAATTGAAGGGCAGATTAAGAGCTTCACAGACAAGAAAAAGCTAAAGGAGTTCATCTCCATAAAACCAGTATTATATGAAATGCTGAAAGGTATTCTTTAAAAAGAGGAGGAAGAAGAAAAAAAAGGTAAAGATAAAAATTATGAACAACAAATACATATCTACCAACAAGTGAATCTAAAAATCAAGTGAATAAAAAATCTGATGAACAGAATAGACTGGTAAATATAATAAAATCAGAGGCATAGAAAGGGAGTGGACTGACAATTCTCAGGGGGAAAGTGGTGTGGGGGGTGTGGGAAGAGACTGGGCAAAAATCATACACCTATGGATGAGATAGTGGGGATGAGGTAAGAGCAGAGAGTGGGGTTGGAACTGGGTGGGAGGGGAGTTATGGGGGGGGGGGAGAGGAACAATTATAATAATCTGAACAATAAAGCTTTATTAATTAAAAAAAGAAAAAATCAGATACCAGAAAGGTAAATATTGTTTTGTACCAATCATATTAGCTTATAATTACAATTCTATTAGTATTTTTCTGATTTAATTCTGAGAAAAATGTGTATACTACCAAGAGTTTTTTCATTTGGCTCAAAGTCATTTTCTCTCAAACAAGTTATAATTTTTTCATTTTCAATATCCACAGAGATAATTCTTCCATTATGCTGGATTCTCAATTCTTTGGTTCCCTTTCCTACAATAACCTTGTTCTTTGTTCTGCTTCAACTTCTTACTGCCATGATACCTTATGCCTCATCTTTAATATAAATACACTGGACTGCCAGCCTCTATATTTTCAGATAATTATCTCCAATATTCTAGTTCCATTAATTTTCAAAATCACTAGGCATGTTGATGCACTGAACCTACCACCTCTATACTTTCACTCATCCCCTTACATCTTTATTTTTAGAAAGTTTGAGTAAAGAAGAAATGCTTACACAATGTTTCACTCTTTCCTCAAATTTTCAACATTTACTCACTCTTAGCTAATAACCTAACTTCCTATTCCACTGAGAAACAGAAGCAATTAAAAGAACACCTCCAACTTCTCCCTCCATCACATTTTCCAAACTATTGGCATCTGAACTCATAAACACTTACTTGCCCACTAGCTAGGATCTTCTCCTCAGGAATGTATGCATAGGTATAATTTTTTCCCCCCTTTAACTCAAAATGATTCTCAGGTCTACATTAAATTTATTCAATAGCCCCAGGTTAAGAACCACTAATTGAAAGAATGGTCTGTTTTGATGCCACCTTCCCATGAGTTAGAAGGTGGCAAGAGACAAAGGAACATTGGGGAGATATTTATTTCACCTAAAAATTGAGCAAGTTTTGTGAAACAGTCTCCAATTAAAAAGGTATTTAATGAGAGTTGATTCCATGTCTACTACTGAGCAAAATTTAGGAAAGGTTATTTTGGTATTATGTCAACTATAACTCATAAATTACTTTTTTTAAAATTATATATTTTATTCATTTTTTACAGAGAGGAAGGGAGAGGGATAGAGAGCTACAAACACTGATGAGAGAGATACATTGATCAGCTGCCTCTTGCACAACTCCTACCAGGGATGTGCCCGTAACCAATGTACACACCTTTGACCAGAATCGAACCTGGGATCTTTCAGTCCGCAGATGACACTCTATCCACTGAGCCAAACCGGTTTCGGCATAAATTATTTCTTAATTGCCAAGGTAAAAAAAAAATACCCTTTAACCATAGAAAAATCTGCCTGTCAGCACCTGAATCCAATAATCAAATTTATCATCACTAGTAATGGGACCCTCCTGACACCTCCTACTGTGAGACAATATAAATTGCACAGTATAATCTAATAAGTATCCTTGTTTAATCTCAACTACTCAAGCATCTAGTAACTTGCAGTTTACAGAAGATTCAAGGTCTAGAAGCAGAAATAAATACAATTTTAAAATTTAGAATTAAGGCATTCTTCAGGCAACTGGTTTGGTTTCTTTAAAAAAAAATCTAAGTTATTTTCTCTTTTAGAGGACAGGGGGAGAATAAAGATTAAAAGTTTTAGGTTTAAAGAGACCAAAGATAGTTAAAACCCAACTGCAATAGGCAATCATTGATCGGATCCTGTTTCAAAAACAAACTACTGTAAATTAAATCTTTACTTATCAGATAGGTTCTGCAACTTTAGTTGAAATGAAGTATAACAAAACCAATGTTATCATAGGCTAATTGATATAAACAAGAGTTAAGTTCCTACAACATATCATCATCATTACAGAAAAAACTGGGACACTAATATAATAGAAAATGACTTAATTTTTTTAAATGTGATGTTTTGTGGTTATTTAGGACAGTGTTCTCACAGAATACGTATAGTGAAAGTATTCAGAGATGAAGTGTCTCCATGTCTAAAACTTATGGTTTTTACAAAAACAAAAACAATCAGACACACACATATATAAGTACACACGAACATATAAGTAAAATAAACATGGCAAATACTTTTTAAATCCAACTGATGGGCATATGGGTGACTCTGTACTTTTTTTGTTCATCTTTTCTGTTTGAAAGGTTCAGAATAAGAAATTTTGGGGGAAAATACATAGCCAAACCTTACCAATCTTTAATAGTCCATTTTGTGTTTTATCTATCTCTTGAAGGCTTTCTTGCTGATGATTGCAGGACAAACTGAGTTTTCTTTTCCAAATTCCCCTGTTACTTTTACTATGAGTTTAGCACTTAAGATTTTGCATTGTACCTAGTCTGAATAAATATAAGTTTCCAGAAGACAAAATATAAGGTTCTTGTGTGGGGAGTACAATAACCAGATATAAAAATTAAACAGCTAAATTAGAATGAGATTATGCAAGCCTTTGGCAGGCAAAAATATTATTAAATTAGTAACAAGACATAGGCGTGAGTGGGGAGGGTCTATACTAGGATGGCTGCAAGAAAAATGGCAAGTTCTAGGGATTATGGCCTGGACAAGCTCCGCAGACCCCTGAGCTTTGTAACATCACAGCTCTCCTCTCGGAACGCGAGGTCTAACTGGAAGAGGGGTGCCTGGGAGCAGCCTTCTCCTGGCAGACACTCACTTTCGCCAGCCGCTCGCTGAGCCAACTGGGTTTGGATAGATAGGCTCATGTTGCAACCTTCCTTCCAAGGACACCCTGGGCCTCGTGGGCAGGAATAAATAGCCCGGGTAACATCCCGAAAGGTCGAATGTACCTCCGTGGTTACGGGCTGGAGCGCACGAAACATCCTTTCGCTTTAGGTCGTCATCTTGCAGCTCCCTATACACATTGAGAATCGAGTGTGTCTCGAATCCTTAGAGCAGAAACGAGGTGGGTTGGGCAACTTTCCCCAAAGAAACCAACGGTGATCTTTGCCCTTAGGCCTCCGACGGCGACCGTGACCTTTCACCCACATTCCCGGCCTGCCCCGCGCCCAGCCCCCTCTCTCCCTCCCCCTCCCACCACCCCCCCCCTGCCCTTTCACGTCGCGTGCCTCGCCGCGCTCCTCCCCCTCCCTCAACCCCTCCCAGCTGGCGACCCACGGCCAAGCCGCCATCCGGGCTCCCTCGCCATGCCGCCGCAGGCAGCCTCGGTTTCCCCGAGGAGGGCGCGTCGTCTGAACCCAGAGGACCGGTTGGCACCCCTGGAGCCGCGTCAGTTCCCAGCGGGCATCAGACCCCCTCCCACTGTCGCGAGGGGGTGAAAGGTCACCCCGTGAGTGTGCCTCTGCGGAGCGGCCGGCGCAGCCCCTCCCATCCTTGGCCTCCCATCCTTCGCCCTCAGCGCAGCCTCCCTGGCCCCGCCCCCTCCGCTGGCCCCGCCTCCGCCTGTCGCGGGGGGCGGGGCATCGCGTCCCCGTCTCGGGCGCCCCCGGAGCCCGGCTCAGTCTGTGCTCAGCGCGCGGGGAGACGGACCGAGCAGTCGTTATGGCAGCGATGTTCAGGCGCAGCTGCGGGGTGAGGGGGAGAGCGGGGCAGGGTGGGGCTGGGAGGCTGGGGGTTGGGGGGATTGGGGCGTGGGAAACCGGGGAGGGAGCGGGCAGGCAGGTGGGTGGGTGGGAAGCCGTGGTGAGGGGAAGGGCTCTGTCCCGGGCCGGGATCCGGACCCGGGCTCACCGCTACTCTTAGGGTGGGACCGGATACATCCCAGGTTTTGACTTTTCATGTTCTCTGGCAGCTGCCCTACGGAGTCCACTTTTTTTTTTAGAAGATCCTTTTTATTCCTCCACTCTGGAACCCTTCACCTATTTCCCCCGGGCTCCCCACTCTCTCCCGGGGAACCTGTCAGAGTTGGGCGGGCCTGTTTTTGCTGAACTGGCACCGTATCTCTTCCAGAAAAAAAAAAAAAAAAACGTCATCTTGCAGCTCTCTATCCCAGCCCACGAAGGAAAGCTTTATTCTGCAATTGATGTAGTAAACTAGACAATGCAGAATTCAGATAAGTCTTACCTTGAAGGCCTGCAAAGTCACGGGGAACGGGAAATGGACACCTAATATGTTTAATGTGCTTTGGGTGTTGCAATAAGGAGGAGGATTCTTCCATGTTACATACGTTTTTTAAAAAAACAAAAAGAACCTACTGCAGAATTCTTCTAGAAGTGTGCATGTTCTAAACTGTCTGTCACTAGATGCATTTTGCTATCTTTAATATTATTGATCTATTCACACAAGACTGCCATTAAAATGTCCCTTATAGCTGAGTTAAGAAACTTATGTTCCTGACCAGAGAAAGTAGCAGTGTTAGGATTTAGAATGATTCTAATGGATTGTTACTACACATTTGTCATTGCTGTATAGGTTAATTGCTTCTGAAGGCAGAAATTGGGGGGAGGGGCGTTAAAATTATTTTTAGCTCTGACACCAGAAAAAAACAAAACAGATTTCTCAGTCACTCTAAGGAAGGATATATAGAAAAAAAACCCATCCAGAAAACTTCAGCCCCTGTATCTCTTTTTTGACATTCCTGTAATGCTAAGACTCTTATATGCCTAAGAAATATACAAAAGTGTTTAATTATAGTGGTGCCATTATTGTAGAGTTGATGCTGGATTAAAGTTGCTCTCTTTTAGAGATTTGGAATTCTAATTGCTCTGGACAGAAAACCCAATGTGATAAAACCATATGGCACTATGCTTCCAAGACATCATCCTGTTTTAATCATCTCAACAAATCATAAGTCCTTTTCAAACTCCATTTTTCATGTTTGAAAAGAAGTTACAAGAAGTTTGTAACCAAACTCAGGTCTCAAAAATGTTGTGGAATGTCAACTCAAACTCAACTTGAGTTTAGCAATTCTAAGTCCAAATAATACCCTATTCCTACATCTGATAACTAGTAAGCCACCTCACTAAATAATTATCATTAAGTTACATAATTAACACGTCGATGTGCATTGTTCCCTGACTGCATCTTCTTTTGTATTTTGTTTTATGTAAAATGTTTTCCAAAAGATCATATTTTTAATGAATTATTTTCAATCTAATATATTCTACTTAAAGTTTCTCAGAAGACCACAATATGGTGTGGCTGTGTTCCAATAAGATGTAATTTACAAAATTAATGGCTACCATAATGTGCTGACCCCCGCCTTAGAACATTCTAAGACTACTTATAGCCAACAGCAGAAAATAAAAGAGCATGATTTTAGGCTATTTTGGTTTATGAAATCGAGTGAGGTATCTTAGAAAAATTTCCTTCAAGTGAAAGATTCCCAGAGGCATTTGTGGCAGACTCACAGAGACATAGTGTCAAAGTTGATGGACTGGCCCTGGATGGTTGCTCAGTGATTAGAGCATTGGTGGGGGTAAAATAAGTTGATGTACTGGGCAACTTTTGCACACAGTACAGTGCCATCCTATTGTGGCCATCACCTCTACCCCTCAATCACAAGTGTCCTAGAGGTTGTAGGGGAGATTTTCAGAATAGTGGTTCTAAATTAGCTGCTACCCCTGACTATTATTTGCCTTGGAAATAGTCCCACTTTGAATAGTTTTATTTTCATTGCTTTAAAAATTTCCTTTTTGATAGGTCTTCAAATATCTGGTAATTGGCTTACCTAATAGTAGAGGCCCAGTGCATGAAATTCGTGCACTGGGAGGAGGGGTGGGGAGGGGTCCCTCAGCCCAGCCTGTGCCCTCTTGCAGTGCAGGAGCCCTCGGGGGATGTCTGACTGATGGCTTAGCCCCATTTCCCCCTGGAGAGTAGGCCTAAGCCATCAGTCAGACATCCTTAGCACTGCCGCAGAGGCAGGAAAGGCTCCTGACACCACAGCTGCACCCACAAGCCATGAGCCTGGCTTCTGGCTAAACGGCACTCCCCCTGTAGGCGATCACTGACCACCAGAGAGCAGCTCCTGTGTTGAGAGTCTGCCCCCTGGTGGTCAGTGCACATCATAGCAACCTGTTGTTCTCCAGTTTGGTCAATTTGCATATTAGCCTTTTATTATATAGGATAGAAATCAAATTACACTGAGTGGCCAGATTATTATGATCTCTGAACGCATAATAATCTGGCCACTCAGAGTGTGTGTGTGTGTGTGTGTGTGTGTGTGTGTGTGTGTAGGTGCATGAATTCGTGCATGGGTGGGGTCTGGCCAGCCTGGCCAGGGGGAGGGGACATGGGCAATGGGCCAGCCTACCTGCTGGTCGAACTCCTGGTCGAGGGGACAATTTGCATATTAGCCTTTTATTATATAGGATTATTATATAAAGTGTACACTGAGTGGCCAGATTATTATGAGTTCAGAGATTATAATAATCTGGCCACTCAGTGTATAGTTAAAGGCACTTTGCTCTTGAGAGGGATCAAACAAGTTGTTGTACTCATAATTGTCAGTATTCTCTTATTTGTTTAATGTTTAATTTAACCAATTTATTTTAATAAAATTGTTCTTTACAGGCTCTGAGAAGTCTTTCTCGTTTTGATTGGAGATCACAACATACAAAAGCTGCCCTAAAAAGTGAACCAGGATTTGGATTTAGTTTTGGTATATATGTTTTGTTCTGTCTTTTGACTTTGAACTTAAATTATTATGTATATGCAGCTCTATATACATATACGTATTTGTCAGAAATATGTTTATTTAAAAAATCTTAGTAATGTCTGTCAATGAACAGAATGAATCACCATCCACTGATTGTCCACAGGTAGTCACACCCATTCTTACTGACCTCATTTTTTCTTTAGCATAATTACCCTACCCATAGATGTGTTAGCAGCATACATATTTTCCTGCTCTTCTTTCTAAGGATGTAGCACAAAATAAATAATGGTTAGAATGTCGTCACCTGCATCAAAGGGTGGCAAGTTCAATTCTGGGTCAAGGCACATGCCCAGAGGTGTAGATTTGATCACCTGTTGGGGGCGGGGGGGCAGGAGGAAGGGAGAGATGCAAGAGGCAGTCTATCAATGTCTTTCAGGTGGATATATTTACTAAATAAATAAATAAAATGAAGATCCCAGGCAAAACGTTTGAAATAAAAACCCCTATCTTAGGCATCCTTTGCTTCCTAAAGTATTGCTTGTTTCAAATTATTTCCTTTCCTCTAGTTAAAACACCCATTTTCTCAGTTCACTTGATCTCAGGAAATATTTGTAAAAGCTAGAAATGTTAACTATCCTTTGGCATAGATTTCTTTATATTGCACAGTGAAATCTTGATTAGTTAGAAAGTTCACTTGTAATCTTTTTTTTTTTTATTATTATTTTATTGATTTTTTTACAGAAAGGAAGGGAGAGAGATAGCTAGAAACGTCGATGAGAGAGAGAAACATCAACCAGCTGCCTCTTGTTCACCCCCCCCCCCCACCAGGGATGTGCCGGCAACCAATGTACATGCCGTTGACTGGAATCAAACCCGGGACCTTTCAGTCCGCAGACCGACCGACGCTCTACCGCTGAGCCAAACCGGTTTCGGCCACTTGTAATCTTTTGACTTTCTGCTTAATCAAGGGTTAAAAATCTTCATTATATGCATAAATTTCAACGTACTAATTCCATAGGGCTTTTTTACCTCAAGTAATTCCTATTTTAATGTTTTCTAAATAACTTTCCCTTAGAGTTCACTGAACAGCAGAAAGAATTTCAAGCCACTGCTCGTAAATTTGCCAGGGAGGAAATAATCCCAGTTGCTGCAGAATATGATAGAACTGGCGAGGTAGGTATCTCTGTGTTTGTTTCTATGTGTTATATAGAGCTCTGCATCTCCCTACAGGATACCTACTAGTGGCCTAATGTAGTAGGTATCCTGTATGGTCCAGTGTCACAGCCTCCCTGTTCACCTGATCTGGACACTGCAGGTGGCCTTCCAGCCTCTGCTGTAGCTGAGCTTTGGTTGCTATTGGCATGTCAGTAGGAAGGATTTACCCTTACGCTGATTGGCAGCAATGATTGGTGTGACCCCCATGGAGGAACAGCTGTGTAGGACCCCATTCCACAGAACAAGACTTATTTCAGCGGGGCCCTGGTGCCCACTATGGCCACCCCTTGAGTGTGTCACTTATGAAGGTAGTTGGCTGATGCTTTGATGTGGCCTGAAGCTGTCCACAAGATATGCTGGCTCTGGTCTCCCCAGGAAGTGTAGGCTAAGGCCAACCACCTCCACCCCCACCCCATGTTCCACCCAGTATGAGCTATAGAGTGATCTGCAGATGGCTGCTACTCGTGCTGGGCTTGGAGGAGCCCAGGTGAGGCCAAGCTGCAAACCAGGCCTGATCCAAGGCCAGCTGCCACTAATGCCCAAAGGAATAGGGCTTGCAGAGGGCAGATGCAGTTTGAGAGATTTTTAGGAAAGTTAGAATCATGAACTGAAAAGCCACTGGAAACAGCTTGGGTGGGCCAAAAAGTAGGGTGCACTGAAATCTCAGGGTATCACCAGTGTGGGATGAACTGTGATAGCCAAGTTAATGGAGATTCAGATATGGCACCCCCCTCTCAGCGCTGTTGGGAAAGGGCTCAAAAAAGGAACAATGGATTCTGTCAGCACTTCTGTCTGGAGAAAGCTGCCCCTCCAGCTTTTGCTCTTGTGTAAGACAATTCAATGCCTCCCTGTGTGTCCCTGGTGCCTTTTGAGATGCTACCCAAGTGCTGGAGCTCAGAGTAAGTAAGTCCTAGTAACTCTGTGTACTGGCCCTTTAAAAGGTACTATCTGGGACTCCAGCAACCCTCCATCTCCCTCAGCACAATCCCTGCTGGTTTTTACAACGAGAAGTTATGGAGACTTCTTTTCCTGACACTGGAACCTGGGCTGGGTAGCCTGTGGTACTTGGACCCCCTCAATCCTTTGGAGGCACCTTCATAGCTGAGATACCCCTTCCAATTTTTTATCTGCCACACTGTGAAACCAGCCCATTTTCTGTCTCTACCTCTCCTACCAATCTTGATGTGGTATCTTTAAATCCCAAGTTGTAGGGCTCCGTTCTGCTAAATTTCAGGTGGTTCTGAATTATGTTTTTCTGTAGTTTAGCTGTAATTTTGATGTGATTGTAGGAGGATGCAAATACCACATTTACCTGCTCTGTCATGTTGACCAGAAGCCTCTATGCATTTTAAGGAGAGAAAAATCTTTTACATTTTTTTACAAGACTATATAATCAAATTATCTAGATTCTTAAATGTACATAGCTATTTTCTTTCATCCTTTTCTTATTCTTTTAGTATCCTGTTCCCCTCATTAAAAGAGCCTGGGAACTTGGTTTAATGAATACACACATTCCAGAAAGTTGTGGTAAGTTTTCTTCATATTTTTAAATTCTAGAATGCATATAAGCAGGAAAAATTGTGAAACTCTACTAAGTCATTCAGTTAAATACTTATTACCATTAAATGTTGGCTTTCTACCCTTGTCTCCCTGATCAGACTTCAGTACTGCTTGCTTCTAGAAGCCTTGTTCTCAACACTTGAGAGGCATTATTCCTTCTTTATATTAGGTTCCAACCTAAACTTGATCCTAAACATTGGTAAATTTTTCCTCCAGAATTGGTCAGTTTGTTGCATTTCAATTCTACCTTTGATTTTACATTTTATTAAGAGTTTTTGTTTTTTTCTGTGAGGTTTTCATTTCTTTCCTCAAATTTAAAGGATCAAAGTTTCAGCAGAATAGAATCAAGTTTTTATAGAAATTGAAACATGAAGACAAGTCTAGATTACAAATAGCAAGAGAATTTTTTTTTGCAATTTTGAAAACTTACTTTAGAAAACTATAATTTGTTACTGTGCTAGCCTTAGCACATTCTTAGTTTATTGGATTATAGATATTACTAGAGGCCTGATACACGAAATTCGTGCAAGGGATTCGGCCCTCGCAGCCCAGGCTTTGTCTGGAAGGTTGTTCAGCTGCCCAGTCTAATTAGCATATTATACTTTTATTGTTATAGATATTTGCAAACATGTTTTTAAAACTATATATTAGGTGAATTATTTTAATTATTTCTGATTAGATCATATTGGAAGTAATTAAAATAATTCACTTTTATTTTAGATGAGAAGTACTACATATTATAATGGGTTTTTTAAATATTTTGATACTGTAGGAGGTCTTGGACTTGGAACTTTTGATTCTTGTTTAATTACTGAAGAATTGGCTTATGGATGTACAGGAGTTCAGACTGCTATTGAAGCAAATTCTTTGGGGGTAAGTTACTTAGAAAATTAATTGTGTAACTGAGCTGCTGTTAATGAGACAGTTCTACTAGGTTAGGCGAGTTATTAGAGAACAGTTTTCTTTTCAGAGGTACACAACATTCTGCAGTGAAGCCTGTATTTCTGATTCCAAAAACTTATCATTCTGACCTTGTCTCCAGTACTTGGAGTCCTGACTATCCTTGTGGGGAAACTATACACTTTGGCTGCTGCTCAGTGGCAAATCCTAGGTAAGGACAAGGCCAAAATCCAGCATTTAGGAGAAGGATCTTGATGGCTTGCTACCACTGCTTGCAATGCTGCCCCTCCAGTGAGCAAATTTAGTGAGCAATTTTTAGGAGGCCTGATGATATATACCACGTTTTTTTATCCTAAATTAAATTCTTTACTACATATTAAGTCCTATATAACTTAATTTTATGAAAATACTTAGATTAACAGTTATTTTCTCATTTTCGCTTTCCAACTTAGAGGCAGAATAAGGCCAGTTACTTATACTTACCCATTGTGGGGAACTATTTCTTTATTTTAATTTGTAGTATTTCTGAATTTACCCAATAAAAATATATTATTTCTTTAATATCCCTTTTCTTTGATAGCAAATGCCTGTTATTATTGCTGGAAATGATCAACAAAAAAAAAAGTATTTGGGGAGGATGACTGAAGAGCCACTAATGTGTGTGAGTATGTACAGCTGCTGCTGAATGTCACTTTTAAAAAATGGAATAAGATTCAGTTTCTCCTTTTCAGTCTAGATGTATATTTTAGGCTTAGCACATTAAGACAGAAATTATCAACATATTTAGATAAAATGATATTTGTGGGATGCCAAGAAAGTGTCATAATAATTACTCTTGGTTATTTCTAGGTGGAAGGTATCTAGTTAGGATTATATCTTGAGATCTTGAGTGTCAGAAAAGTATCATAATAATCCCCTAGCTTATTTCCACTAAAGAAATATCTACTCAATAGAACACTCTGCAGTTCATGAACTGAGTGGCTATGTCGGAAGTTCAGATTGAATGTATGATAGTAGTGTTTGACTAGTAGTCTTTTGAACTAATAAGAAATTAATGTAAATGAAAAGATAAAATTATTTGTTGAATGAGTAACTTGGGAAAAATATTTATAGATTAGCTAGAGGCTCAGTGCATGAATTCATGCACCAGTGGGGTCCCTCAGCCTGGCCTGTGGAATCTGGCTGAAACAGGCTCTCCGATATCCTTTGAGGAGTTCCAGAGTGCAAGAGGGTGCAGGCTAGTCCAAGGGACTCCACCAGTGCACAGTCGGGGCCATTGAGAGACATAGGGTGGCTCTAGGGCATATCCGGCCCATCTCATTCATACCCAATCAGCTGGACCCCAGCAATAAGCTGACCTACCAGTTGGAGTGCCTGACTCCTGATGGTCAGTGCACATCTTAGCGAGAGGTTGAGCAGCGTTAGCATATCATTAACATATTATGCTTTGATTGGTTGACTAGCTGACCAGACAACCAGACACTTAGCATATTAGCCTTTTATTAAATAGAATTCCTTGTGAGAACTTTTATTAAATAGGATTCCTCAACAAATGTTTAAATTAGATATTTTTAAAAAGCTATTTTTTTATGCATCTATACACACATATACTGACATTCTATTCTGAAGTATTCTAATAAGGATTTTTACTTATTTGTTTTTTATTAGTCAAATTTTAATCCAGGTTGTGATGTGATACTAAAATATAATAAATAGTTGCTAGACTTGAGCTAATTGTGAGAATTAATCTGAAAGAGTAGAAGGTAATATTTGAAAATAAATGTTTTTTATTAAGACACCTGTATTTTGGGCAAACTGCTTACTATAGACATTATGCATATTCCCTAGTTAATTGCTAATTTTTTTTTTAACAAATGAGAGTTTATTAAAAGACTAATTATTATTTTTTTTCATTTTATTGATTTCTTTACAGAGAGGAAGGGAGAGAGATAGTTAGAATGAGAGAGAAACATTAATCAGCTGCCTCCTGCACACCCCCTACAGGGGATGTGCCTGCAATCAAGGTACATGCCCTTGACCAGAATCGAACCTGGGATCCTTGAGTATGCAGGCCAACACTCTATCCAATGAGCCAAACCAGTTAGGGCTAATTCTTAATATTATCTAAGAATTGTGTGAAATATCTAGAGCCTTATTCTATAACATATAGAATATTAGAAAATGGCTAAAAGTAATAGAATATATATGCTTAGGAGAACCTGTCTTATTGCATTAATAAGGATATTTGTTATTATCTTATTAGATATAAATAGGTATTTCTAGAATATTAGAATCTTTAAAAGCAGTTCAAGTATATAAAGCATTTTTTTGGCAGTTTTGTTAGATATTAATACCTTCAGTATATCAAAAAGTGCATTCACTATAGTCCCTAAGCTACTCTAACTTCTGAATTAATAAATGTTTAATATACATTTTATACCTTCTAGTGCATTATAACAGTAGATCTACTCAAAATATAATATGAAGCAATGTGTAAAACAAAAATAGTAATTTATAATTATGTTAATTATATATTACTATTTTATTATATAAATTTTAAATTTTAGTTAACTTACACTGAGATTCAGTTAATTGTTTAACTCCCAATAAATATTTATAAAATTATACTACATATAATGTGTTTTATTTAAAATTTTAAAAAATATTTTTACTATCTGTATATATAAAAACCTAAGTGACCATTATGACCAAAGGACTGGAACAACTGGTTGACCAGTCACTATGAAGCGCACTGACCACCAGGGGGCACACACTCAATGCAGGAGCTTCCTCGGTGGTCAGTGTGCTCCCACGGCCAACCTCCCGCAGTCCCTCCTCCCGACCCCACTGGCCAGCCCCCCTGATTGGCCCTGACTGGCCAGGCCAGCCAACCTCCCATGTCTCCTGCCCGCACTGGCCAACCTCCTGCAGCCCCTCCTCTCAGCTGGCCTCCCCCCTACAATTGGCCTCAATTGCCAGCCAGGCCAAGGGACCTCACCCATGCATGAATTCCTGCATTGGGCCTCTAGTTTTAATTATAAAAAGTATAGAAGATTTAGAAAGGTATGAAGAACCAAAACATCTATAATCCCTCAGATATGAAGTTAACTGATATAACTGTTTTACTATAGTCTCTATCAAATTTTTAATACATAGTAATGTATTTTTAACAATTGGGGTCATATTATATGTGCAGCTATATCCTTTTTGTCATGAACATTTTCTTATATTCTATTTCTTTTTAAATATCGGGTATAGTAATAATTAATGTCGTTTTCAAACATTCGTTTAAACTCTTGCTTGGCGTTGACTTATATTGACATAACCTTCAAACACGTGGTATCTACAGAACGTGTGAAGTGCAGTTAACAAGTTTTGCTTGAAAAAGTTTGTGTTTGGTTTGGTTTTTGTTGCAAAACTAGGGCTAAGAAGATGGCGGATGAAGAGCATATTCAGCACTGCATGCTTTACGAGTTCCAATTAGGAAGAAAAGCAAGTGAGGCTGCAAAAAACATCTGTAGTGCTCTTGGTCAAGATGCAGTTAGCGCCAGAAAATGCCAGCGTTGGTTTGAGAAATTTCGCGAGGGAAATTTTTCGTTAGATGACAAGAGTGGTCGAGGCCGTGTGTCCAATTTTGATCAAGAAGCTCTTCAAGCTCTTTTGGTGCAAAATCCTCAAATTACCCAACAAGAGCTTGCGACAACTTTAAATTGTTCACAAAAAACAATTTCCAATCAATTGCGTGCACTTGGCAAAGTCCAAAAGTTTGGAAAACGGGTTCCTCATGAGTTGATCGACAACAACCGCAATCAAAGAGTCACAATTTGCAGTTCGCTCCTCTCTCGTCAAAACCGTTTGCCGTTTTTAGAGCAAATTGTTACCGGAGATGAAAAATGGGTGCTGTATGTTAATTTGAAAAGGCGGCCTCAATGGTTGGACAAAAATGAGGCTTCGCAGCCCACACCAAAACCTGACTTGCATGCGAAAAAAGTGATGTTGTGTGTTTGGTGGAATTTTAAAGGAATTCTTCATTATGAACTTTTACCATCTAACCAAACCATTACAAGTGCAGTGTATAGTGCCCAATTGGAAAGGTTAGCCCAAGCTTTAAGAGAAAAAGAACCCGCGCTGATTAATCGGAAGGGCGTAATTCTTCACCACGATAACGCACAACCGCATACTGCAAGAATCACTGCTGAAAAACTGCGCCAGTTGGAATGGGAAGTTCTCCCTCAACCTGCATATTCTCCTGATATTGCCCCTTCCGATTACCATTAGTTTCTTTCTTTGCAAAACTTTCTTCTTGGAAAAAAATTTAATAATGAAGAATGCCTCAAAAATGCATTGACCGAATTTTTTGCATCAAAATCACAAGAATTTTACAACAGAGGGATTAAAATGCTTCCTCAGCGTTGGGCACAAGTAGTAGAAAACAACGGCAACTATATTGTTGATTAAATTTTGTTGTATTGTTTAAATAAATTCGATTTAAAAAAGTATTAGAAAACGACATTAATTATTACTAGACCTAATACTATGATATTTATTGCTGTATAATATGCCTATTGATATACTATACATTATTTCACTATTCCTTATTGGTGAATATTTAAATTCCTTATATATTTGCTTTTAAAGTAATGTCATTTTAAAGTTTGATACAGAAAAAATTTATATGTTTTGGGATTTAACTTTACAGTACAGATGTATTGTTCTTACATATTTATAAGACTTAATCTCTTATCTGATCATGTGGTCAGATATATTCTTTCTGAGAAAGTGAGTATAGAGATAAAAAGGGGCAACACCATACCTAATTTTAATACTATCTATGTATTGCAAAAAATTTCCAAAAATAAAAACTGATTATATTATATATAAAATATTAAAGTAATTCATTAGAAACCATATATCTTTTTTAAAAATTAGCCGAAGCCGGTTTGGCTCAGTGGTAGAGCGTCGGTCTGTGGACTGAAGGGTCCCAGGTTCGATTCCGGTCAAGGGCATGTACATTGGCTGTGGGCACATCCCCGGTAGGGGGTGTGCAAGAGGCAGCTGGTCGATGTTTCTCTCTCATCGACGTTTCTAGCTCTCTATTCCTCTCTCCTCCTCTCTGTAAAAAATCAATAAAATATATTTTAAAAAAATAATAATAAAATAAAAAAATAAAAATTGGGTAAATTTGTGCAAGAATGGGCCTTCCTTTCCCTGGCTTCTGGCTCTGCCTTTGCTTCGGCCCAGAGCTGCCTTTCTCCTTCCCCCACTGCCCAGAGGCCCAGAGTGGCTGGGGTGTGCAGAACACCTGCATTGTTGCTGTGACGCAAGCTTCCCACCTCACCTGGCCACTTGGCATCTGCATATGCAAATTAACCTTCCATCTTTGTTGGGTTAATTTGCATAATCATTCCTGATTGGCTGGTAGGTATTGCAAAGGCAAAATCAATTTGCATCTTACTCTTTCATTAGTGTAGATTTTTTTATCTATTCATATAACATAGGTCCCCATCACCTTCTTAGTAATCACTGACTATATTCTGGAGCTAAATATAGTATTCTAGCATAGTCTGATCAGTACAGAGTAGGGTGGTTTCACACTCTCACTTCAGATACTTTATAAATATAGCTTATAGCATTAGCACTGTTGATTTATTTAAAGTTTACTCCCCTTAAATTACTGAATCAGTTTCCCATTGGTGTTAACTTTTGGTATATTCATTAAGTACCCTATTAACTCTAGTTTCAGCACTGTCATCTCCCTTGAGCTTCTCCCTTCTATATGCACTTGTCTATTAGACATTTGTTCTTGGCTAGACCTACATACCTTAAACGAAATGGATCCCAAACAAATTATTTTCTTCCTATTCTTTAGAACTGCTTCTCCTCTAGATTATCTCTAATTGGAATTGCCTAAACTAAAATATTGAGAGTCATCAGAACACCTTTAGCTCCCCAGCATCCTATTTAGTTGTCATATCTGTGAATTTCACCCACAGTTCTCAACTCCATCTTCTCTTCCCTGTCTTGCTTTTTTCTTACCTGTATTATTCTTCCTTCCCTGTATTATTTCAAAGCATCCTAACTTGTGTCCCTAAATTTAGTCTTATGTAGGTACATTCCAGACTCATTTCCTAACATTCCCTTTTATGCACAGAGTTTACATGTTATAGAACTCTGGTACTTTTGTATTTCACACACTGGGTAACCCGATCTCTTATTTTGGTATTATTGCACATGTTTTCACTCTACCTGAAATATACATTTCTCCTTTTCCCTACATGCAAAGAATTCCTTTTCTTTCATGAGTATTTAAGCATCACCTCTGGGAAGCTTTTCCTGACATGCTAAAGCTAAGCTAGTTTCTCAAGCCTGTTGCATCTGACTTTAATAGATGTATGGTTTACAGCCGAAACTGGTTTGGCTCAGTGGTAGAGCATTGGTCTGCGGACTGAAAGGTCCCAGGTTCGATTCTGTCAAGGGCATGTACATATGTACATTGGTTGAGGGCACATCCCTGGTAGGGGGTGTGGAGGGGGCAGCTGATCCATGTTTCTCTCTCATCAACATTTCTACCTCTCTATCCCTGTTCCTTCCTCTCTGTGGAAAATCAATGAAATATATTTTTAAAAAAAATAGATGTATGATTACAATATAGCATTCATCCCTTCCTGTTACATTGTAAAAATCTTGAAGACAGGATGTCTTTCATCTCTGCTTTTTTTCCCATCTAGTTTTTAACTTGTACATGGTAGATACTGCTTATTACATGTTTGAATGAGAGAGTACATATGGAATTGAATTTAACTTGGTTGAAGAAACCTAACATTTTAATTTTTAGTGTGGTTTACTGGTAGCATACATCAAGTTTAAATTATATATTCAATAATTTTACATTTGAGCAGTTTATTTGATTCTCCAAGAACATTTTATTTTTACATATTTTTAAATATTTAAAATATTGGCTTAAAACTACATTCCTGATTCTATGTTCATGATTTAATAATTAGCATTTAGTTTTTTCTCTTGTTTCCATATATTTTAGGCCTACTGTGTAACAGAACCTGGAGCAGGCTCTGATGTAGCCGGTATAAAGACCAAAGCAGAAAAGAAAGGAGATGAGTATATTATTAATGGTCAGAAGATGTGGATAACCAATGGAGGAAAAGCTAATTGGTATGTTGTTTAAAACATCTCTGTATACTGCTTCTTAATTAATTTAAATTCAGATTCTTCCCTCTATTTTTTCTTTTATTATGAAACCACCATGATTAAGTTTTATTCAAAGAACTATGGAAGGTTCATAAAAGATTATAAATAGTTCAGTGATTTTCAAAAACTATTCTTAAGCCCTGAACTATGTCTTTAAATTAACTGTGAGAAGTTTAGTTAGAAAAATAAAAATAAAACAAAAACATATCCTCTGTTTGAGTCTGATTAGGAAAGCTAGAACTCCATCTATTTGCCTTACTATCTCCTCTCTCCATACCCTACACCATAACCTCCTTGAAACTGTCCCTTGAACATTAAGGAAGAAAGAAAACCATTAACAGCACATTTCTTTGATTTTGAGCAAGAAGCAATGGCAATCTGAAAACTCAGGTTATCTTTTAGAAAAGACAGTTTTACCTTTAATAAAATCTAAAAAATCTAAACATATAGTTTCAAAAATAATGACATGAAGTTCAACAAAGATCATAAAATCACTTGTATAAATCTAAAATGTTGAAGGAAAACATATTTGTTAGTATTATTTGTGGGGGAAATTTAATAACTAACTATAGCTTTGGCCTGTGTGGCTCAGTTGGTTGAACGTCACCCTGTGCACTGGAAGGTCACTGGTTTAATTCTAGATCAGGGCACATGCCCAGGTTGCAGGCTCGAGCCCTGGTCAGGGTACATGTGCAAGGTAGCCAGTCATTGTATCTCTGATCAATGTTTCCCTCTCCCGTCAGTGTCTGTCTCTCTCTTCCTCTCTCTTTTTCTGTCTCTAAAATTAATTTAAAAAAAACAAAACATTTTTTAAAGTACCTATAGGTTCAGTACATTCAGCACTCTGATGTAGCTGCCTTTAAGCAAATAATATAGTTTCTTGCTAATGTAATAGAAGGATAGCATCAGCAAGAGGGTGGAAATAGTAATGATTCTGGCAACACATATTAAGACATGAATTGGAATAAATTCAGAATCAAGTATAAGTCCTGCATGAGGAGGAGCCTGCAAAACATGTCTTATAAAGAGTGAAGGAATTAGGTTTAGTTATTTTGGAAGACTCTTGAAAATTTTTAAACAATGTCATACAGAAAGAAGAGCAGTCTTGCACATTTGCTTCAGGAAACCAGTTTAGAATTAATGAGTGAAAGTTAGAAAAATGTAGAATTCAGCTCAACACAAGGATAAACTTTCCAACAACAATGCTATCAAGTGTGTGTTAAGTTGTTACAGAAAATAATGTATTTACCCATCAGTGCAAGTGTATAAGTAAAGACTTCTAGAATGAGGACTTTCTGGTGATTGGAATGATGAACTAAATGGCTATCTTTCCTCATTTGCAAAAAAAATATATATATATAATTCAATATATCTGTGTGCTCTGGCAAGCATTAGTCCTGGGAATGAGCTTACCAAGAAACCATTTGTTTTACTTTAATCATCACTATCAATCCCTTTAGGAAGGTGTCTAATAGTATGGATACCATTATCTTTAAGTAAGTCATCATAATATCAACAAGTAATTAAAAAGTAGAGAAACTTAAAAATTTAACAAGTTGAGTGAAATCTAACCAGGCAATTAGAAGTATTCATAATTTTAAGAGCTCAGTAAGTACAATTTTTTTAATTTATAGATTGATGTGAGAGAGAGACATCATTTATTGTTCCATTTATTTATGCATCCATTGGTTGATTCTTTTTTTATAATTTTTAATCTATTTGAGAGAGAGGAAAGGAAGGAGAGAGAGTGGGGTGGGGGGGGGAACTGATGTGAGAGAGAAACATTGATCAGTTGCCTTCCACATGTGCCCTGTGTGGGGATCGAACCCATAACCTGTGTATGTACGCTGACCGGAAATCAAACCTGCCACCTTTTGGTTTATGGGATGAATCTCCACCCAAATGAGCCACACTTGCCAGGACAAGTACAACTCTTCACATAGTAAGGCAAACTAAGTAATATATGAAACTAGATATTTTATTTATCACTATTACTAACTAAAACTATAGAGAGTGATAGTCTATTAGTTTTAAAAGTAGAAAATAAATTTGTTTAAGGAATTTTTAGAAAATTCTCTCATACAAGAGGATTTAGAACATGGGTTACATGGATATTTGGATGTTTTTGCCTTTCTCCTATTTCATTTTTAACATCTTTTGGGGATAAATTCTTTTAGAGGAAAACCCAGCAAATATTAATGATAATACAGCTTAAACACAAAACAAACAAACAAACAAAAGCCCACTGACTGCTGCATAAAGAAGACAATAGTAAGAACATTGAGGTCCCTGTCTCATATTATTCCTTTTCACAGGCAGTCCTATTTGCCTTTCTTTGCCAGATAGCTAGTCCCTTAAAGAATTATACCAGCTTGGGGAAAGAACAAGTACTAGTTCCAACATACACATACTTTCTTTTTACATTATCTTGATACAAGGAATTTTTACTTTCAAGTCACACTACTGAAAGAAGTTAAACATACTACCCTGTTTCCCCAAAAATAAGACAGTGTCTTATATTAATTTTTGCTAGGTCTTATTTTCAGGGATGTCTTATTTTTCCATGAAGAAGAATACAGTATACATTTATTGTTAAATGAAAATAAAGGAAATTTATTACCTGTATACGGTACAGTAGTATGGTAGTTGTCAACACAAACCAGACAAACTGTGAATCCTATAGTATCAAGAATTTACTCATTTATTCAATGACAATCATGTCATCATCTTCTGGAACATCATCATAACAATCCAATTCCTGAATTTCCTGGTGAATTTCTTGTGACTCCATTTCTTTCAGAATCAGTGGACCAAATCTCTCATGTTTAGCCGGGGGGGGGGGGGGGCTTATTTTCGGAGGATGTCTTATTTTCGGGGAAACACGGTAATTACGAAGTCAACTTGTCTAGAAATACTACCTTTGCCATACCATAAGTATGACTTTGACAAGACTTTAAACCTCTCTGATTCTTCATTTAGTCTTCTGGAAGAGGGGGATAATAGTATTGGGATTGTTGGGAAGATTAACTAAGATAGCAGTCACCATGTATTATCTGCTAATTTCTTTCTCTTTATTATCATGTATGTATATATTAGGTATTTTTTATTGGCTCGTTCTAATCCGGATCCTAAGGCTTCTGCCAGTAAAGCCTTTACTGGATTTATTGTGGAAGCAGACACCCCAGGAATACAGATTGGAAGAAAGGTAAAGTGTATATTTATCAGTGGTTAAAGCCTCAAAATTATTTTAACCATAAATTTCAAAATTACCACTTCAGTTTCCTTTATGAAGACATTTTATTTTTATTAGGTTGGAATAAAAATAAACATGTTTTGATGTTATCAGGTCATATAGTCTATAAATTGCTGGAGATTTTAAGGTGAGAATAATTCTTTGAAGGAGTGATATTTCATGGTGCCAGTCTGCGGAGAATGCTAAGAACAGTTGTGAGGGATAATGAAGCAGAGATAATGTTATTTATAGGCCCTATCCAATAATGGAGTTTTAGATATTTCAAAAGTCTTTCCTATTCTTTTTCTTCCACACAGCAAACTTTCAGGTAGGATAAGTGGCATTATGCCCATTTTATGGATTAAAACAATGTGACATAAGTTGATTACCCAAGGCCATACAACACTAACATAAAACTCTGTATGTGGTATCACTTATATATTGAATCTGATGAACAAAATAAATTGATGAACAAAAAAGACCCAGAGACATTGAAGCATGTAACAGACTGACTTATTTCAGAGGGAAGGAATAGGGCAGGAAGAGATTAACCAATAAACTTATATGCATAACCCATGAACACAAACAATAGTGCAGGAAAGGTCTGGGGAGGGGAAATAAGCAGGGTGAAGGAGGTCAGGGAGGAGGGAGAAAGGGACCATCTGTAATACTTTCAACAATAAAGATAAATTTTTTAAAGATCTGTGTCTTGAGAAAAGTGTGGAAATAGCAAAGAGCCTTAAATGTGAGCATGAATAAACCTCAAAAGCACTATAAAAAGTGAAAAGTCAGACACAGAAGGCTGACCTTGTTATTCCATTTATGTTCTAGAAAAGGAAAAACTATGGACAGAAATCAGATCAGTGGTTGCTTGGAGCTGGATAGAGTAAGGTAATTGATTAAAAAGGGTTACAAAAGCTCAGCAAGCGTGGCTCAGTGATTGAGCACCAACCTATGAACCAAGAGGTCACAGTTCAATCACAGTTCTCACTCATCATTGATGTTTCTATCTCTCTCTCTTTCCCTCTCTGAAATAAATATATATATATATATATTTTAAAGGGTTCAAGAGAACTTTTGGGAGTGCTGAAATATTCTATATCTTGACTGTGGTAGTGATTACATAAACACTTGTCAGAACTATTAGAAACATATATGCAAACACGGTGAGTTTTTCTATATGTAAAATCTAAATTAGCCTAATTTTAAGAAATAGTTAAGAGAAAACAGAAATTCAACTCTTATCCAGCATATTACTTTGCTAATAATTCTGTTAAAGCTAAAATTAAACGTGCCAAGCCGAAACCGGTTTGGCTAAGTGGATAGAGCATCGGCCTGTGGACTGAAGAGTCCCGGGTTCGATTCCAGTCAAGGACAGGTACCTTGGTTGCGGGCACATCCCTGGTGGTGGGTATGCAGGAGGCAGCTGGTCGATGATTCTCTCTCATTGATGTTTCTAGCTCTCTGTCTCTCTTTCTCTCTGAAAATAACCAATAAAATATAATTTTTTTAATTTTTTAAAATAAAAATAAAATAAAAAGAGCCAAATTAGATTGTTTGATAAATGCTTTTCCTGACATTCACAGTAAAAGAGGAAAAAAAAAAGATAGCTTTCAAACATATAATAAAATCTGTCTTTGTAGGTGATATATACACTTTAGACTAGTGTTTGTTTCACAATTTATAAAAATTGTTTTGAACTAGGTAGGGGATTGACACTTATTTTTGTAATGGTTCAGATTGTAAATACTTGAGATTTTTTAGGGCTATATGGTCTCTGTTATAACTACTCAATTCTGTCATTGTAGCAAGGAAGTAGCCATAGGTAATTTGTAAATGAGTAGGTATGATTATCTTCCAATAAAGCACAAAGTAGGCATTGCAGGCCATAGATTGTTCACCCTTGTTTAAGACAGTTGCAGAAATCATAAAACAGTGATTAAAGCAAAAACTCATGCTAGCTCAAAAAAATGTTCCTTTAATATTTATTGTTTTTCATATAGGAGTTAAATATGGGCCAGCGATGTTCAGATACAAGAGGAATTGTCTTTGAAGATGTAAAAGTGCCTAAAGAAAATGTTTTAATTGGTGAGGGAGCTGGTTTCAAAATTGCAATGGGAGCTTTTGATAAAACCAGACCTCCAGTAAGTACTGTAACTTGATCATCTTCATAGGATCTTTTATTCCATTGAGTAGTTTTATTTTAACATTGTATGCTTCATATATATTTTTTTCTAGTATCCGCTTCTCTTATTAGATTTTTCTTTACTTTTTAGAATTCCTCTCTCCTGCTGCCTGTTACAGAAATTATTTTAACAATTACAAAATTACTGTAGCTGCTGCTACATTTTACAGAGGCAGTGCATACAATCATTCCTGCTGATATGTAGTCATTTCCTCTTACTTTACTCATTAGAAATATTTTCCCTAAGAAGCTTTCTTCCTTAAACTGAAGGAATGATTTGTCTCTAGCAATGATCCTATGCCTCACAAATGCCTTCCATTAAGCTTAAACTTATAAGTAATATAAATTTAAATGCTGGTGTACCCCCAACACTCACATAATCTCTTTTTGCCTTAAGCTAGTTTATCTCTGTATAATCCTTAATTTAGAATTTTAGGCAAGTAGCCATTATACTGTGTGTTTTAAAGACTATGTAATCTTTCTGCTTTGTAAAATGCTACAACACTAGGTAGCAGCTGGTGCTGTGGGACTAGCACAAAGAGCTCTGGATGAAGCTACCAAGTATGCCCTGGAGAGGAAAACTTTTGGAAAGCTGCTTGTAGAGGTAATTTTAACATTGTACCTGCTTTGTTCAAATGTAAATATATTCAATTTCATCTATATATTTGATGATTGTCTTTTAAGTACAAACTATTGGTAATTATCTTTTAGGTACAAATTATCTTTTAAATGCAAACTATTTCTTCTATGGTAGCAAGAAGATAATGTGATCTATCAGGATGAGTTTCAAGAATGGATTTTCTTTATACTCTGCTATTATTGTATGCTCAGGGAATTGTGCTAATTAAGAAGAAAGAGAATAGCCAGTATTTACTGAATGCCTATTATATATATGACACTATGCTACACATTTTAAATAAATTGTCTCATTCTCCCAGTACTACCCTTACAATCTCCATTTAAGATTGGGAAACTGCTGAACCCGGTTTGGCTCAGTGGTGGAGTATCGGTCCGCAGACTGAGGGGTCCCAGGTTCGATTCCAGTCAAGGGCATGTACATTGGTTGCGGGCACATCCCTGGTGGGGGTATGCAGGAGGCAGCTGGTCGATGTTTCTCATCAACATTTCTAGCTCTCTATCTCTCTCCCTTCCTCTCTGTAAAATATCAATAAAATATGTTTTTAAAAAATAAAAAAATAAATTAAAAAAAAAAGATTGGGAAACTGAGATTGAGAGAGATTCAATAATTTGTCCAAGATCACACAATTTAGATATCACAGATCCAGGACTCCATTTCATGCTCTTTTTTTTTTTTCTTTTTTCTTTTTTAAATATATTTTATTGATTTTGTACAGAGAGGAAGGGAGAGAGATAGAAAACTAGAAACATCGATGAGAGTCATCGATCAGCTGCCTCTTGCACACCCCCTACTGGGGATATGCCCGCAACCAAGGTACATGCCCTTGACCAGAATCAAACCCTGGTCTCTTCAGTCCCCAAGCCGACGCTCTATCCATTGAGCCAAACCAGTCTCGGCCATTTCATGCTCTTAATCCATGTTATTTTCACATCTTCTTATATAGGACTTACTCCCAAAATGAGAACTACAGACAGGGTTACAGAAACCAAAAGGAAAGAGAGTTCTGTGAACTGGGTAGACACATTACAGGGAACCTGGGCTTAGTTTAAACAGTTTATCAAAACATATGCTGAAAAGCAACTGAATGTGACTCATTGGAAATGTTGATTAAAACACACAAACTAGACACCACCTCAGATTTTTTTCATCAAAATCTCTCAAGAGGCCCTAGCCAGTTTGGCTCAGTGGATACAATATCGGTCTATGGACTGAAGGGTCCTGGGTTTAATTCTGGAAAAGGGCATGTACCTTGGTTGCATGTTCCACAGCCCTGGTTGAGGTATGTGTAGGAGGCAACCAATTGATGTGTCCCTCTCACATCAATGTGTCTCACTGTCTCTTGCTCTCCCTTCCACTCTCTCTAAAAATCAATGGAAAAATATCCTTGAGTGAGGATTAACCAAAAGAGAAAAGAAAAAAAAATCTCAAGAGAAGCATGGGCATCTTATACTAGGTTGCCAAGGCTATAATAAAATAAGGTCTAATATACACTCAGTGGCCAGATTATTATGATCTCTGAACACATAATAATCTGTCCACTCAGTGTATTTGTATCTCAAATGGGTACCAAAAGTATTCTAGACTTTTGCTGGATAGCAACCACCTATTTGCCCTGAGCTTTCTATCTGTCAGTGCAAAGAGAAAAATGATCAGGTGCACAATTTATAGTATCTTTAATATCAAATAAATGAGGTACTCAAGAGTGGCCAGATTATTATGTGTTCAGAGATCATAATAATCTGGCCACTCAGTGTATATAGCCAGTGGGAATATAAATTGGTATTACTTTCATGAACCACATTTTGGTAAAATATATATCAAAAATACCTGCCTGTGGGCCCATATTGCAATGGTTATTCTACAACTATATTTCATATGACACTTCCATATATGCAATGTGACACAAGTATAGGTTATTCATTACAGCATTGTGTAGAAATAACCAAATATAGGAACAATCAAAATGTTGATCATCCATACAGTGAAATACTTAGCAGCTATAAAAAAAGAGGAAGAAATTCTTTATTTATTGATATAGAAAGCATTTGGATTTGTTGATTAAAAAAAGCAAAATGAAGAACCATCAACATGGTAGACTAGCATATGTGCTCCAGTAAAAAACGGAGACTATTGAAGTATTTGCTTTTATATGTATATGTAATATCTCTAGATAGATTAAAAAACAAAACTGTTAACTGGTTTCCTCCAGGAAGGGGAATTAAATGAGATGGGGGAGGGGAAGGATGATAGAAGAGGAAAACTAGAATTTTGATCTGGTGGATATATAGCCTATTAAAAATTAAAAGAAAAAACAGTGAAAACTGCTGCTCTGTCTGTGGAGTAGCTAATTCTATCTCACTTTCACTAATAAACACTCATTCACTATTAAAATAATAATAGTGAAAACTAAACCAAAAAATTAATAATAAAAACTTTAAAGAATCACTGGCTTAGAAGATAAAATTCAGACAAATAGAAGTAAGGGAGGATATTACTTTACTTCTTCCACATAGGAATTATCCAGGTTGGTTAACAATGCTTCCTCTAAGACTTAATTACCATGGCAATATCAAGTAAGTTGTCACATTGTAGTGTGACTAAATATATGCTCTAAATATAGTAAATTGAAATTAAACAGCTCAGTGACTTGTTTTATTTTTTTTTGTGTGTGACTTTGGTTTCTATTAACCCACACAGTCATAGATTGTGTGGTTTTATAACAGTTTAGTCTTCAAAACCTATTTTGATGTTGCCTACTTCACAAAGCACCTTTCTAATCATCGTAGTATTTTTGTTTCTGAATGCTTGTGGGACTTCTTTTAATGTATATTATTTTAAAGTATATGTTCCATTCCATATTCATTATAGAATAATTTATATGATACAATATAAATAAACTTAAGAAACCTTATCTATAATATAATCCAATTGTCCAGAGACAATTAGTGTAGACATTTTTCTTTATATTCTTTTTCCTTTTTTTTTTAAATATATTTTTATTGATTTTTTACAGAGAGGAAGGGAGAGAGAGCGAGCTAGAAACATCGATGAGAGAGAAACACCAACCAACTGCCTCTTGCACACCCCCTACCGGGGATGTGCCCGCAACCAACATACATGCCCCTGATCGGAATCAAACCTGGGACCTTTCTGTCCACAGACCAACGCTCTACCACTGAGCCAAACCGGTTTCGGCTATATTCTCTTTTTCCATAAATATACTTTCCAAATCTGTAACTACCTATATTTTACACTGAGTGACCAGATTATTATAATCTCTGACCACATAATAATCTGGCCACTCAGTGTATATCTTATATAATAATTCTATATGAAAAAAGGCTAATATGCAAATTGTCTCCTCAACTAGGAGTTCGACCAGCAGGCAGGCTGGCCAACTACCCATGTCCCCTCCCCTTGGCCAGGATGGCCAGACCCCACCCTTGCACGAATTCATGCATCGGACTTCTAATATATATACATGTATATACTGAGTGGCCAGATTATTATGAGTTCAGAGATCATAATAATCTGGCCACTCAGTGTATATTTGAATTTTTTACATCAATATATGGTGAACATATTTCCATCCTATAATATATTTTGGCCATATAACTCATAGAACACTTACTATCTCTTAATGAAAGTATCTATCTTATGTCTGCTATTTGATTACGAACCTTTAGAAGAGGCATCTTTTATTTGTCCTTGTCACAGCATTCGCTTTCCCCTGTCAGCATCTGATGCACATTATTATTCACAATATGGAGCTGTTTTCTTTAAAAATCCCAGCAGACACTCAGATACATATAATTTCTGTGGTATTTTTCCCAAAAATACATAACTTTCAGTCCTATGAAAAAATCTAATAAACCCAAGTTGAGGGACTTTCTAAAAAAAATAAATAAATAACCAATCATTATTCTCCAAAAGTGTTAACGTCATGAAAAACTGAAGAATTGTAACAGACTGGGAAAGACTAAGAAGAAATAACAACTAAATTCAATTGGAATTATACTTGGGATCCTTGAACAGGAAAAGGACATTAGTGGGAAAGTTGGCCAAATTTAAATGAAGTTTAACATATTAACTTGGTACAATATTATCAAATTAACTTCTTGATAAGTATACTATGGTTTTCTAATGTTAACATTGGAGGAAGCAGAGTATAACTTTTTAATCTATAATATATCTATAATATAATCCAATTGTGTAAACTTAGTTTTAAAAATTTTTTTTAATGCCAGGAGGAAAACATATTAGGTAATAGATATTTTAAAACTTTTTCTTTTTAATTCTAGCACCAAGGAGTGTCATTTTTGCTGGCTGAAATGGCAATGAAAGTTGAACTAGCTAGATTAGGTTACCAGAGAGCCGCGTGGGAGGTTGATTCTGGTCGCCGAAATACTTATTATGCCTCTATTGCAAAGGCATTTGCCGGAGATATCGCAAATCAGTTAGCTACTGATGCTGTGCAGATTTTTGGAGGCAATGGATTTAACACAGAATATCCAGTAGAAAAACTAATGAGGGATGCCAAGATCTATCAGGTAAGATTATAAATAATTTTTGTTGTTTTTTTTTAGGAAAAGAATGTTTGTAGATGATAGTAGATTTTGATCAGTTAGGAATTTTATGCCACTTATTACTTAACAAGTGACATCATAGATGTTTGTAATCTGAACTAATTAACACAAATAAGAATATTACCTTTAAGTATATGCCTTAAGAGAAAATATGTTGCCCAGCTAGTGTGGCTCATTCGTTGGAGAAATATTTAGCAACATCAAATGTTAGAGTTTCCAAACTTTTTTAAATGTTAATATTTGATTTTTAAGATAATTCCAAAGTTTTGGTAAGTCGCTTTTTATAATAATTTTAACTATAATAATTGTTACAAAATTATATATTTTCATGGGTTTCCCAAAATCAGGTTTTGGAATCATTATAGACCCTATATATGATTTTATTTAACTGTGTATTAAAATAGAGCTTAAACTACTTTCCAAATATTGAGTAAATTGAAGTATTTATGTAATGAAGATATTTCACCTACATGTATATCTTTTTCTTGCAGATTTATGAAGGTACAGCACAAATTCAAAGGCTTATTATAGCCCGTGAACATATTGGCAAGTATAAAAATTAACAAGATCTCTGTGCAAACATGACTAATTGTTGAGTAAATAGAACATAATCCAGTATTTAAGGTACAGGAAAAAGAAAGGGCTTCAAATATGTACTCAACTAATCATATGCAACTGATTCTAATAGTAATTTTACCTTGTTTAACTTTATGACTTGCCTTTCCTCAAATATTTTTGGTTTCATTAAATTATGTGTTGTCTTCAGTACCACTGTGCTTGAATTATATTAACCTTGAAAAATGCATTAGTTTTGTTATTTTGACTTCTTAAAATTAGAGTAACAGAAATTCCTTGGAATTTCAATATTTTTCCAATGACAGAATAGTGGGTTTATATCGCAGTAGGATATTCTAAAATTTGCAATGAAAAACTTTTGTAGGATTTGGACACCACCAAATAACTTGCCAGTGACTTTGTAGACCTAATGATATTCTATTAGAAGAGTTCATTTGCTAAAATTTGGAAAATATTTGTTTTCAATTTTATACAGAGATAGTAAAAAAAAAAAATCGATGTTTATATTTTCCTATTATACAATAAACCAGAAGTTACTTAAAATTTTTGTTTAATTCTGGGCCCACATTTTCACTTGCCTTATTTAAAATAAATCAATAAAGTTTGCCTTAAGTTATTCTTATGACTCCAATCTCACTTCATGTGCATACTGAAAAGAAACTTTTAAATAAAAGTGTTTAATACTTATTATTATATCTCTATAATATAATTTAAAAAAAAAAAAAAACACCTCACCAAAGAAAATCTTTTTCATTGATTTTAAAGAAAGGAAGGGGTGAGAGGAAGAGAGAGACAGAGACAGACAGAGAGAATGAGAGAGGGAAAAATCCATTAGTTGCCTCCCATATGCTCACAATCTGAGTATGTGCCCTAACCAATTCAACCAAATGAGCCACCACAGCCAGGGCAGTGTATCTGTATTCCTTCCAGAAAGTTGATTACTTCATGTAATAGTGGATACCTAATTTATATACTAAGATGGAAAAAGTCTTGTTTGGATTTTGAACTGCATAAAGTTACTTGCCCATTTTTCATGAGATGATATTATGACTAGAGGCCTGGTGCACAAAATTTGTGCACAGGTGCGGTCCCTAGGCCTGGCTGACGACCCAAGTGCAAGTGTCTGGCATGGAAAGGCAGGTCCCAGCTGACCTCTGGTCCCTGGGCAATACCTGGGTCCCCAGGCCCCCACACACCTCCTCCACTGAGTCATGGCACCTAAATCCCCACACAGAGATGTGGTAAGTGCAGCCAGACGCCACAGGCCGGAGCACAACATGGGCCTCTGGGCCTCCCAGAGGCACCACACAAAAACCAGGCCAGCAACACACTCGCTCCCTGCCAGCCTTGCAGACCAGTTCCTCTATGAACCCACAGGGAGCCCAACTAGCCCTTGGGGTCCCGGTGGCTGTGGCCCAGCTCACCCAGAAGAAGCTGTGCAGGTGCAGAGTGGGCTCATCGTGGACACCGGCACCTGAGCATGGGGGCTTGCCTGATGCGTGACCTGGTGTCCCAGAAGAGAGTAGCAGGCTGAGTGAGAGCAAGTTTGGTGTACACCCACATTCTCACCACGCCTCCATCCCCGTCATCCTCCCCCCCCTCCCCCCGCCAGGTGGCTGGCGAGAGGTCACAGCCCCCTACCCAGGCACTGGAGGAGGTTGATCACCACCACCCATGCCCAGTTCCCCATTCCAGCTCAGGGCCTGGCTCCAATCAGGCAATCAGGGCCTGCTGGTCGCCATCTTCAGGAGCACCTCCCCACCTCCCCTCCGCTACTACTGGTCACAGTCTGCAGGACAATTAGTGGGGTTATCTGGCCCCCGCTTGCACCTGCCTTGGCTTGCCCCCCACACACACACACACTCACCTGCTCCACCATCCCACCATGGTCCCACTCTCATAGGGGCTCATCAGGGCCAACAGCACCTCCATTGCCGCCCACTGCCAGTGCCATCTTGTTGACACCACCATGTTCTGCACCACCCGTGGTGGTCAGCACACGGCATAGTGAGCAGTCAAATCCTCTGGTTAAACAACCACCGAAGGGGGGGCCATTAGCATATTAGGCTTTTATGTATAGGATAAGATACCTCAGAAAATACAAATATAAAATAACTCAAGAACCAACGTTTGTAAATTTAATTCTTTGTAATTCTAAACATCAAATACTGCTAAAATATGTCATACTAAATGGTGTTTCTGATATCACTTTTGATTTTCCAATTCTGATACCAACTCTGCAATTCAATCCTATTCTGACAGTAAATCAAAATAGTTAACATCAGACTCCACAAGTTTAAGGGCTCAGTTCCACAAGACTACGCTCATTTCAGACATTAGTCACAAGTCCTGGTTCTCCAGGCTACCCATACTTCTAATTTTGCTACAACTTCAGTTATTTTCAAGACCCCATCCTCAGGTTTGATAATTTGTTTGAACAGCTTACAGGACTCAGGAAAACACTTCACTTAAATTTGTTAGTTTATTATAATGGACTAGAGGCCTGGTGCATGAAATACATCCACAGGGGGAGAGGAGTTCCCCTCAGTTCAGCCTGCACCCTCTCCAATCCAAGACCCTTTGAGGGATGTCTGACTGCAAGTTTAGGCCGGATTCCTGGGATCAGGCCTAAACCAGCAGTCAGACATCCCTTTCACAATCCTAGACCACTGGCTCCTAATCATTCACCTCCCTGCCTGCCTAGTTGCCCCTAACTGCCCCCCCTGCTGACAGTCACCTCTCACTGTGCCCCCTGTCAGCCTGGTAGCCCCCAACTGCCCTCCCCTGCTGGCCTTATCTCGCCCCTAACTGCCCCTCTCTGCTGGCCTGATCACCCCCAACTGCACTCCCCTGCTGACCTGTTTTTCCCCAACTGCCCTCCCCTGCCGGCCATCTTATGGTGGCCATCTTATGAGGCCATTACACCACTTAGGCTTTTATTATATAAGATACAACTAATGAACAGCCAAATAGGAGAGATGTGTAGGGCAAGGTATGGGAGGAGACAGAGCTTTCCAACACTGTCCTTGCATATTCATCAACCTGGAAGCCCCTGTTCAAGAGTTTTTATAGAGACACTTCAGCCCCACACTTTAAGGATGGGGCTAAAGCTCCACCTGCATTAACTAGTGCTGCCTTAACAAAATGCCACTGTCTAGGTGGCCTAAAAAACAGACATGTATTTTCTCACAGTTCCCCAAGATGCCATCTGGGTTGGTTTCTGGAGATGCCCCTCCTCCTGGCTTGTAGGCCTACTTACTATGATTGCCTCTTGCCTGTGCATAGACATGGGGAGAGAGAACTCGAGTGATTCCTCCTCTTGTCATGAGGAAGAAATAGTCCTATTAGATTAGGGCTCTACCCTTATAACCTCATTTAATCTTAATTCTCTCTAGGCCCTATTTCCAAATACAGTCACAAGGAGAAAGGAAAGGGATTCAACATATGAATTTTGGGGATGGGAGTCACAATGCAGTCCATTGCACTGCCCTCAGGCCTGGCTGACGACTCAAGTGCAAGTGTCTGGCATGGAAGGGCAGGTCCCAGCTGAACTCTGGGCCCTGGGCAATACCTGGGTCCCCAGGCCCCCACACACCTCCTCCACCTAAGTCATGGCACCTAAATCCCCACACAGATGTGGTAAGTGCAGCCGGACGCCTGGTGACCTGTTCTTCCCAAGAGCCTCACCCTGTCATCTTATTTGCATAAATTCAAGTGATCTTTTGAAAGAACCTCATTATGAATAACAAACTCCTATCAAAAAAATTCCAAGGGAACTCAGAGCCAGGGAATAGAAAGAAAAGCCAAAAACATATCCTATACCACACTAAGTTATAAAAATAAAATCTTTTATCATACTAAAGATATTTAAATGACAATTTTTATGCTCAATTATGAAATTGTATTTTATTGGCACAGCTAGCTTTTGATGAGATTTAAAGACTTATTAACACCCCAAATTGGGTATTACATAGAAATTACAAGTTAAATAGAAATATACATTCAAATGCAGATTTGGATTTATAATTCACAGGTCCAAAAATTTACCAATTCTAAATATAAAGCTTCTAGATAAAAATGTGTTTCAGAGCCATATGATGAGAATATTTATTGAACTACCCTTGCTAATAAGTATTAAGCAATTATATAACTATCAATTAAGACTTTAGTCACAAATAACACAAATGAACTTAAGCATGTATGGGAAGGCAGAGGGCGGGGGGGAATTGGTAAGATATGTACATATATAATACCTTAATTAAAAAAATGGGGGGAAAAATGAACTTAAGCTACTTTAAGTAAAAAAGTGAACAATTGTATTTAAGTCAATTGAACTTTGAACAACTCAAGGGTCAGTGGCAGTGAAATTACCCCCACAACCTCCAGCCCTGCGCAGTGGAAAATCATGAATAACTTTTGATTCCCAAAAAACTTAATTACTAATAGTCTACTGCTACCAGATGCCTTACCGAGAACTGAGAACATGAATAGTCCATTAACACATATTTTGTATATTATATGTATTATATCTTGTATTCTTACAATTGAGTATGCTAGAGAAAAGAAACTGTTATTAAGAAAAATCATGAGGTCGTTCCAAGATGGCTGACAGGTAAACACCTAGTCGCAGCCGCATACAACAATTTCAATAAAATACAACTAAAATATAAAATGGACATTACCCAGAACTACAGGAAAGTCGACTGACTGGAAAGTCTACAACGAGAAGCAAGGATAAAACCACAAGGAAGTGCGGAGGAGCTGTAAAAGCCTAAGGTACGGAGACACGCAGTGCGCACGGAGAGGACGGAACCGGAGAGGAGGGAGGCTGAGTGCCTGGCTGGCGTTCCCTAGCAGGAAGGAGATAAAACTCCGACTGTGCTGGGCCCCAGTTCTAAGCCAGACCCTGGGGACCCAGGCTCACACAGAGGGAGCTGGGCTGCGAGGCGGAACCCCGGGGGAGCAGCGAAAGGAGGTCCTGGAGGCT